TGCAACCTGGTCTTTAAAACAGGTTTCGCATAGCCAGAAATGTGGTGCACACCTGGTGGACCTTCCTACTTTCACCCGCAAAACACACAGTGTGGATTTGGGTAAAAATGAGGTAAAGGTTTTACTAAGGATGTGAGTGAGAAATGCAGGATGGGAAAAAGTAGTTTTCAAAGCACAAAAAGTCATTTTCAAAGTACAAAAAGTCATTTCCAAAGTCATTCTCAAAGCACTAAAAGTCATTTTCAAAGTCATTTTCGAAGCACTAAAAGTCATTTTCAAAGCACAAAGCGCAAGTGGAGATAGGGCTGCAATTCAGTGCCAGAGGCCAAAGAAACAGGAAATGCAGAGCAGCGGGACGCCGCCCTGAATTTAGCTGCCTATCTGGTTCTGCGAAGACCCGTGTCCTCTGTGGTCCAATTTCCTCTGGCCTCCGCTCCTTTTGTTCCCCAGCACCACTGTCCTGGGTAGAGGTTTCAGAAGAAGCTTTGCATCTGCTTGACTCCCTTCCTTGCAGGACACCTCTGGATCAAGCGTTCCCCATCGTTTGGGCTTCTGGGTGACTGACCCGCCCATGGGCTTGAGAACTCTCTTATTACGTGTGCACTAGGTAGGGGTACTCATCCCTGAGATGACCTCAGCCACCGCAGCACCAGCATCTGTGGCTTTTAGCAAACAGCTGCAACTGATCGTCAAACGGAAGGAATCCGCATAGTCCAGATGAGTGAGTCACTCCAGGCTTCCCACAGCACCCACGACAGCAGTGTTTCTGCAAGGGAGAACATTCGGATCTCTTCAACAATTGAGAAACCTCTGTGTTCATTCCTCCAAAACTGATTATCTGGACAAAACCCTAAGAGTTATATGTTATTGTGATTATTATTTTCCATTTCGGAAATCATGTACTTCTCTTCTCCAACTAGGTCTCCCGCAGTCACATCACCTTCTGGATATCTCATCAGGTGAGTAGCAAGAGACTGAACATGGAAAGATGGGATGGGGCATCCCCAGTTCTCTGATGTTCGGACAGTGAGGCAGTTGCTTAAGATGCCAAAATAGCACCGTTCATACACAAGAAGAAAGTATCAGCAGACCTTGCAAAACACCAAAGTTTGCAAAAAGACGACTCCTCCACCAGGGTACTTGTGCCTGCAAATTATTTGACAAGTTCCTACGGTTATAAAGGCATTGATATTGGCCAGATTAATATTTTATCATCGGCACTTCTGGAAGGAAGATTCAAGGAGGTTCCTTACCAAGAAGGTTTTTCCCCTTATGAGGTGGGAGGAGTGGAGTCAGCTGGACATGTTTTATTTTACTGCTCTTTTTATTATGAACTTTGGCTTACCTTTATTGCTCCATTATTACAGAAAATACCTGGTAAATCTGTCCTATTTTATATATCACATTTTTTATCAGATCAGCAAGAGTGGCGTGTTTTAGAGGAGCTGCTATTCTTGTCGAAAGACGATGATAAAATAATATTACTAGAATTCTAAAATGTTAATGTGTATTTGTGCTTTTGTCCTCTGTTTTGCATTTGTTGACGCCTTGTGTTTTGTATTGCTGTATCTTATATTGTTCTTATTCATGCTACTCTAAGACTAAAATAAAATCTATATACTCCTCCACCTTTTGAAAATAAATTAGTGTGGGGTCCCCAGAAACATCCCAGTGAAGACTGAATAGTCTCAGTGACCACAGAATTTTGCTTGACTATTGAGGAGAACAGAATGGAAAACCAGATGGAAGGGGAAATAGAACAGAATGTTCTGTAGGAGCGCATTGAACAAAACCACTGTATGTTACAGTATTTTATTACAAGTTCCACGTGTAGCATTATACTCTTGCTATGAAATCTAGCTCTGGAAGCTACTCACCTTGTTTCTTTCCTGTTAGAGGAGTTTTCACCAAGACCATTGATAACACCTCTCCTTCGAGTACAGCGTCCAATGGCTTGCCAAAAAGGTGTGTCAGTTGTTTCCTGGCTTTGCTACTTAGCGATGTCTATGTATTTGACCATAAAATCCAAACAAGCTCCTGTCCAGAAATATGGGAAGAATGGGGGAGATGCAGGGCGATGCTAAGGATGGGGAATCACTGTAGAAGAAGTGGAATTTGCATACAGGCAGCCAGGTAGGTCTGAAATCGGCCTTGTGGCCAATGCCACCAAAGTTAAAAACCAAAACAGTGAAAGTGAGCATGCGGGAGAACACAGCTTAGCAGAAGGTGGTGGAGAGTTTGGAATCTCTTGCAGCCAACTGCCAGGGTTCTGCCAGGGTGGAAGAGGAAGAGGGACCACTCTTCTCCAGCAGCCAGCTTGGTCTCTGTGCTGAGCAGAGTGTCCCACCCTCCTCTGCTAGTTCACTCACTAACCTTCATGGGATTTTAAATATTTGCCTGGACTCAATGCCCAGTTGCCATAGCTAAGCTAGTGCTTCAATGCTTTCTAGCATGATTTACTTGTATCACTTGTAACAAGTGGGTAGACTCTGGAGGCACACCTTCTCTTGTCTCACATTCTTCTTCACTGCAAATCAGAGAACTGGAAACCTGGTGGGGTTTTCCTTATCAGGAAAGCGGAATATGAGCTTCCATTCTTTGACATGGTGTCCTCTGTGGATTCCACGTTCCGTTAGGAGCATCACCCTGCAGAAAGCGCTCTTAGGGGTGCTCAGGCCTCTAATGATTGCTGGGTGTGTTACATTTTCAGTGCCAAAAATGCCAGCCAGCCCCGATTCACTCAAGGATACAAGATGACAACAGAGGATTACAAGAAACTGTGAGTATATCATAGGGCGAATTGAGGATTCTGCTCATCTGCATTTTTAGCCAAATTGACCTGATTAGCACTTAACTCAATGCTCTTATTGCAAGCAGGTTAGCCATGAGAGAGGCATGTCCAGCTTTTGGAATGGGGGAACTGTACAAAAGTCAGGGAAGCCCTAAATGGCCAACAGCTGGGAGGCAGGGAAAGGAAACTTTGTCTAGACACAAAGTTCTCCTGCCGTAAAGAGAGAGAGCTGCACACAGCTGAGAATCACTGTACAGGATGCGAAAGGAGCTCCTTCGTTTGAAGGTGCCCTTCCAAGGGAGTAGCAATGCTTCCTGAACATCTCATTCACGATCACTCACTATTCACCCAGCACCTGATCATGCTTGGCTGCCTTTACTGGGTTTGTGGTTACTTCAGACTGGTGATCTGTTCAGCAAGTTCATACCTGTGAATGTTATCCAAAAAGCCACCTCTTTTCCTATCTCTATGATCTTAGAGCTCCCTACAATGTCAAGCAAGAAGTATCAGGTCCAGGTGATGTGGAGCCCTTGGTTTCCCCAGATGAGCAAAAAAAGAGGTAACCTATCACGGCTTTTGCAACACGTCTTAGGTTGTTGTTTAGTTGCCAAGTTGCAATTCATGCAACCATTGGTTCCATCCTGCAACTCACAGCCCTCCTTCCTTTGAAGGACTGAAGCGGCAAGCAGTGTGCTCAGGAGAACAGCAAGCAGGGAGCGTTCCTATGTCCTTTCAGCAGCGAAGAAAAGCAACAGGTAAGTGTGAAGGGAGGAAAGAGGGAGTAACTAACTAGCTTAGTCTTCCCCAATCTGGTTCCTACCCACTTTGTGGAACTACTATTCCCAGCATGACCCAGCTGGGTTGGGGAAGGCTGAACTAGGGAAGAAAAGAAAAAGTGCTTAACCATGGCTGAAGCCAGCTAGCACAAGCTAAACTGACCCAAATACCAGAAACCCCTTTTAATCTGGTATTATACCTCCTTCTCCTCCCCTAGGGTTGTCAGAGACCTCAACAGTGATTTAAACTGAGTTTGGCTTTTTATTAACATGACCTCCAGATTCCGCAGTAGAATGGCTTTTTCTGAGTCATACAGATTCTGCAGAACTGGGTTACCTTAAATTTTCACCGTTAATTTCAGATTTGTGCAAAATATAGGCCTCCACGCAATTTGCACAAATTCACGCAGTTGTGACAATTTGCACCTACTAACACAAATTGCAGAGTGGAGGCTGTAGTTTTGCACAAATTTCCACAGGTTTAAAAAGTTACACAAGTTGTGATCTGCTTGAAAAAACAGAAGTTGTGTTAAATCAAGTTGCCACCAGTACAGTACAGCAACTTTGAGTGACAAAGTCATTCAGCATATTTTGCATTATGTTTTTCCCTAGCATGGATCCTTTTAGGTGATGGAAGGAGGCAAAGACACCTCTGAGCTAATATACTTCGTTGCAAAACAGGGAGGGAAAGGACACTTGAAGAAGGAAGAATGCAGAGAAGGGCTTTTGTAAACAGGATGTTGGTTGTATTCCCATCTACAGCTTGTACTCACAAAATAACAAATGAAACCCACAGGAAAGGCCAACTTTTTGAATTAGGAGGGACTTAAGCTTGCTATAAATATCTAACTCAATACTTGTATGTTTGCAGGAGTCCAGTTCAAGAAGCGCCACCCTTCATTGCAAGGAGGTAAGTGAGAAGTGAGACAGCTCCAGAAATTATGCCGAAGGATGGAAATCAGTGCTGTAGAGCCGCCTTCTCTGTGGGACTGCTGCACAAGGATTAGAACAGAGAGAGGTTGGCTGCTGTTTTCAGACTGGAAATAAGAAAAGGATATTCTATGCCAAAATAAGCTGAAAGGCGGAGAAACAGTGGACATGGTCAGAAAATGCCGATCCTTGCTACTTCCTAGGGAATGTGAGCAGAAGGAGCTATGGCGTTCATGGGGATTCCCGTGGCAGCTGGGTGGCCCCTCTGGGAACAGAATGCTGGGCAGGGGGTTATATAGTTATATAGCATGCCTGTTTTGGAGGCAAGGGAGGGCTGGAGGAAGCCCAAAATCCAGGCTGTCTGTCAGAGCCAGGATAAACCTCTCAGCCAGAAAATAAGGTGGGTGAAAAGAAGATGGACCGGGCGACTGATGCATGGAGTTTTTGTGTTCCGGAAAGGGCTGACATTGAGGATGACCTGGCCCCGCGCTCCAGAAGTCAGACAGTGCCTGCCTCGGCATGGTCCAGCAGTCATAGGAAGAGGTAAGAGCCCTTTATTATGATTATTCCACAGTAGCCATTAATGTATACAACACCTAAAATATCATTATATACTTTTCACTTGCAAAGTACCTAGCATCTTCAAGCACGGTGCAAAGAGTGTAGGATAAGACAGACTGGCGGTCTAATATTGGGGGAAGAGCCCCTCCAGATGTGCTGGACTACATGTCCCATAACCCTAGACCAGGTCGTGTTGTCTAGAGCTAAGGGGAGAGGCAGCCCAACAATATTTAGGAGGCCGTGTGCCCCCCAGACAGGGAGATCTGCCTCAGGACTGCAGCAGCCGTGGAAAAGGTTCAATTCCCCCTCCATGCCTTGTGGCCTTCCAGGTGCTTTGGCACTGCAACCCCCATCAGCCCCAGCCGACACAGCCAATGGTGAGGAATCATGGGTCAACCACACTGGAGATGTTCCAAAGGCAAATCCCAGCGGACTACTGCAAGCTTCCAGTTTTGCTGGGGGTACCAGAGCCCCCGAGCTAAACCACCACATTTTCTTTGTTTTCCAGCAGCGCCAATGGGGAGGGAAGTGGTGCATCTGGAATTCCTTGGAATGAGTCAAGGATGGCTGATCCTGCTTCCAGTGCCAGGTGAGTCCTGCCCAAGCTGATTTTTTCCCCTTTCCATATTATGGTAGCCCATGAGAATCACACTAGCTTTCACCAAAGCCGACCTGTTTTCACTTGTGTATGTTCACTATTCTGCTATACCACAGTGCCACCTAGGGGTGCAACAACAGGAAGGGAAAAAACAGGAAAGGAAATGTTCTTGTGTTATGTGATGAAACTGAAAGAAGATTTGCTTATTAGCAGCTAAGTAACAGTCTCACCTAGAAAAGAAGCAAGTCACTCCAGTATCAGACTTCAGCTTTCTTTTTCTGTCTTAATCCCTTTCAGCTTGGTGGCCAGGGTCTATTTGGAGAAGGGGAATCCTAAAAGGCTGCATGATGACCCTTGGGGGGACCTATTGTTTCCACGCCCTTGCCCTATCCAATGTGCCCAACTATAATCCCAGATGTTTATGTTTTATGTTACTCTTCTAGAAACATGCCAGATCCGGAGAAGCATAAGATGACTTCCTGGGATAAATCTGCTCTGAAGTTTCCAGCATCTCCTTCAAACAGAAGGTAAAATCCTGGTGACCCCAGTTCACTCATGATACGTACTTCACTCATGATACTGTCCGCACTGCTGGCTTTGCTGGGGGAAAGGAGCAGGAAGGGATAAAGTCATACTGTCTCACTTTTCCTGCTTTCATTTCCACAGTGAGCAAGACGAAATCGACCCCCAAGCCACACTGAGTACTGAAACACGAAGTACCTTTTTTTCTGAGGACAGGTAAACATGCTTGTGGCACCTTGAAGATGGATATACAAAGCTCTGGGAAACAGATTGAGAGCCAGGGGTCTGTATCTGTAAATGCCCTTGCTCTGAGTTAATAGAAAAATAACTGGGGAGAGAAAGGAAGTCCCAACACATAAATAAGCAAATAACCAGATGCTTGGTTGCCATCCTTAGCTGGGAAACCAGGAGGCCAAACGATGGAACAGCAGCTCAGGTTCCTCACATGGTTCTCTCCCCAGAGGCAAGCCAAAAGAGGGAAGAACAGATTCTCATCTCTCTCTCCCCCTACCTCCTTTTTATTTATTTATTTTAAAATTTAATAATTGTAATAGTTACAGTCCCTTTGATTTATTTTATTGGTTTATATTATCTTATTGTACTGTTTTATTGATTGTTTTTATTTGCCATAAGCCGTATTGTCATAAAGAACGGCAGATAAATGTTTTAAATAAAATAATAAATAAAATAAAGACATCATAAAATGGTGCTAGAAATGTGAAAACATTTTTAAAAGACTTCAGTGACTAAGAGGAATTGAGGAGCACCTTCGCTCCCGCCGCCATGCTCTCTTTAGAGATGTCAGTGCCTCAGTGTGGACGGCCATTGTGAACTGGTGCTGAAAAGGCAGGATTGGTGCCAGAGGTCTATCAGAGGAGGGAGAGTTTCCTACTTCAGGGGTTGCCACCAAAAAGGCATTTTCCCTTGCTGCTCCCCCCCCCCCCCCGGGGTGGCAGTGGGGAGAAGCCCTTGGATGCTGAGCATAGTATCCGGCCAGGCAGTGGCTGAGAGAGGCATTCTGGCAAATATTGCACACTCTCAAGCAGTGCTATTCTAGCTGTGCCTGGGCGGGTTCGCGGCCGTCTGGCCCTGCTTCCTCGAAAGGCCTGGTTGGTCTCTCTTCGGCAGGTCCCATTCTCACTACCGACCCGGGAATGCCGATGCCTCTCCTGAGACAAACCATCTGCCCAAGGCTGAAGGACACCTCCATGAAGCAGAAGTTGGTTTCCCAAGGTAAAAGGGTATAGGAAAAGTGGCGGTGTTCCTAGAGATAATGGAAAAGATCAGCATGCACCCTTTAAAAGGTGGTGATTAATTTGTTTTATAAATACTTTACTAATGAGTTTGAAAGGTTTAGGGTAATTCCCTCCCATGGTGGTATACATCAATTCTAACACCAGTGTAATTTATAAGAGTCCTAATCTGACACCAGGTTTAAATTGGGTGGGTGGGTGGGGGGAGTTAACACTTGGGAAACGAGACACACAATATTTCCTGTATCACAAGAACTTAATGGGTCTGTTCTTGACAGATTTTCCTCAGATCGCAAAGAAGGAACTTCCCCTGGAGAAGACAAGTACCGAAGCCCAGGTTCAAGAGCTGCAGAATTCTACGAGCATCGACCAATTACAGAAAAGTAAGAACTGTGTTTGGATGTGCAAAAGCGTTCCAAAATCCACTTTTAGCCAATGTCTTTATTAGTACCAAAATGCCACAAAAGAAGGAGCCAGCCAGTTACCAACTCTAATGAAGGGTTGGCTCTTCACCGGAGCACATTTTTTGAGGCCATACAGCAGTGGTGAAGATTTTAGGTCCCTCTAGCTGTTGTGGCATCTGGTCCTAGAGGTGCTCTGTAAGAAGGATGGGAACTGTAGCCCAAGTTTGCATTAAGGCCTTAAGGTGGCATGTTGAACTGCCAGAGGTGCTCAGATTTCAGCATTGCAGGATTGCCTTCTCTTTTTAACCAGACTCCTGAGTTCGGTAGTTGCTGCCAGGTACACAGGTAGGCAGACCTGCATGGAAGACCTAAGGCACAGGTAGCCTCAAACACATACTCAGCCCAGGAAATTGAGATCAGCACTAGAACCAAGCCCACAAGCCTTTTAACAGAAAAATCTCCTGCCAGATCTATTTTAGCAACCTAAACCTCAATCTCTCTCCCCGCCCTATATATAAAAAGCATACCAGGACTTATTGTAGGTTTAAACTCCAGTAGATGCAAGGGTGAAGGAAGGGAAAGGAAAACCAGCAAATTCTAACACTGAACTATATCTCTGCCTCTGATAGGGTCCAGTCTTTTCCCAGGGACAACACAGATGCTCTTTCTGGAACAAGATACAGTGCATCAGCCTACATTGACAAAGATGCCAATCCTGAATCAAAAAGGTACAGAGGACAAGAAAACAACCCATCTTAGTACCATCAGCCAGAAGTCAGAAAATATTAACAGAAGTAATGAATGACTGTAATTTCTCTTCTTTTCCTGCTAAATTGAATAATAATCTATTACTGGTGTTTAAAAACTTCTTAGATCTCTTGCCTTCTATTCCAATAATTATTCTTATGTCTCCAATATGGATTCATTTATTATATTGCTATACTACCTTTCTCCCTTTCGAGGAACTCAAGGTGATGATATAATCTTCCTCTTCTCAGTTTGATCCTCACAACATCAACCCAGTGAGGCAGATGAGGCTGAGAGTCTGTGACTGGCCCAAAGTCACCCTGTGGGCTCCATGGCTGCATGGAACACCCTGGTCCCCAGACCAGCTCCCAAACCACTACATCACACCAGCTCTCCTTGTCCCATTGCTATAAATTATCCTATTTTGTAACTTGTAATTCTCCCCTTTTTCCATATATGAGATCTTATGCATTCATACTCTGTGCCATGTATTATTTCTCCATCCCCCTAGAGCAGGCATTCCTTGCTTTTTCTCCCCAGTTCTTTGCTATTATGATTGAATCCAACGTGTTTGCCATTATCTACTCATTTCTTGAGAAGATTCCTCCTTCTCAGAGATGAACAGCGCAAGAACATGTTACACCTGCTCCTGGCTGGCTAGGAAGAGTAAACCAAGGTTCCTCTAATGCAGGTTGGATCCAGAACCTGTGGGCAAAGATCCACATCATCATGGCCACCAGAACATGCTCCTTGTATTCCTGTCCATCCTAACTGGAGCCTACACATACTAAGGGGAAAAGTGTGCATCCTGCCTTCCCAGATTGACTGGAACTGACCCCTTCTCTTGCAGATTTTCCTCTGGTTTTGAGAAGATCACCCAGGACATGGGATATGAGAGTCCAAGTGACATGGGATACAGAAAGGTGGAGGCTTATCTGGCAAAGTAAGGAAGCAGACAGGCAGTCCTATCTTTGCTGCTTCTGTGGTTTGTATGGGACTTCAAATGGGCCACTTTCTCCAGACATTTTACACAAGCGGGGTGCCTACAGCCCAGAGCTTTGCTGAGGCTTTTTCTCCCGTTTTCTTTGCAAGTTTGCATCTTTCTCAGCTGTCTTCCATCCCACAGGGGTTTTCCTTTCCACCCCCTGTGTGTTCCTAATGTTACCCAGAGTGCCACAGGGCAAAACTGCAAAATAGAGCAGGATTCTGCGTGGAATAATGGCACCCTCTATGGATGAAGCGCTCTCTCTGGGCGCTAAAAAAAGGTCCATGAAAATGAGTGGGAAACTCACAAGAAGCCCTGGGAGGACAACACAGTGAAAGGACTGTGTGAACTTCCCTGTGGGAGGGATCAGAAGTAAACGCCTTGTGTAAGAGAAGCCCATAGTGAGTTGGCGTGCCATCTGAACTCCGGACTGTTCACACAGCGGATCTTTCCACTAGTTAATCTACATCAGGGGTTTCAAACTTGCGGCCCGCGGGCCAATTGCCGGGACGGGTGGGGCACAGGGGAGGGGCCCTGCGGCCTTCAAAACGCCGGCGGCACCCAGTCCAGCCGCAGGATGAGTGGCCCACCACCACCGCGGTGGTGGAATACTTGATGCGGCCCAGCCTCACCCAGACTCTCCTTCCAGCGGCCCCCAGCTAAGTTGAGTTTGAGACCCCTGATCTACATCATTTGATTATCTCATATACTGCAAAGGCTGGGAAATGTCTGACCCATGGAAGTCGCCTTTCTCTTTGTAAGAACAAAGGGGCTCTGCTTAGGGTGAGCCCCGGGGGTGTTGTAGGAGGCAATCCGGCTGCCCGAGCCAGAGCGGCTTCCCTGATCAAGTGATGTGCTTTAAATTAAACGCCTCCGAGATCCTGCCTGCGAACCTACAGTCTGGTTCAGATGGAGCGGATTTGCCAAGCTGACCCTCTTCCTTTGATCAGGTCTGGCTCATGGTCCAGCGAGAGCAACCTTAGTGCCACTGGACTCCAAACGCAACCCCCAAGAGCTGCCGAGAGGGACGAAGCAGAGTGCAAGGCTTCCGGGTGGGTATTGAAGTCCGCCAGAGCTCCACCATGGCCCATGGAAAGCCCTTAGACGACCTTCCTTCTGGGGGAAGCAAGCAAGCTGCATCCCTTTCCTCCTAGGGATTTAGGGATTGGTTATTCTGGTCACATTTCAGGCAGGGAAACACACCACTGGGGCCTTCAGACCTCCCTTCCCTCCTTGGGTCTTCTCCTGCCCCAAAGTCAGTGCTTAAGTCTCTCGAAACAGGGGAACAGCTGCAGAGGGACATTAGCAGCATGTTCAGGGTGGCTCGCCTTGCTCACAGCAGACCACACGGGGACCCCACTCACGTTGCAGTGGAGGCATCCACTGGCCAGGAATTCAGGACAGCCCAAAAGCAGGGCAGAGTGAGGCAGCTGTCTTGGGAAGCAAGTGTTTCAGCAGCAGCAAGGTGTGGGCGCTGCCTGTCCTGGCTTGAAAGCAAGCCTCCCACCGAGGGAGGATGCAGTCCCATCACAGATGTCAAAGAAAGGCTGAGCTGCACGTCTGCTTGTTTTCTGGATGTGAATTTGCTTCAGGTGACAAAGTGCCCTGGTCAGGCCCTACCAGGTCAGCTAGAAGGCTGGAAACCGTCCTTCATGTCGACCCTAAGCTTGACTGTTGTATCCATGCAGAATGTTTTCCGTTCCTTTTTACTCTGAGTAGGTGCAGAGTTCCCAGTCCAGATCAGGATCCTAGCATGGCGGAGAGGGGAGAAAAGGGGTTTTAACCACTGCACTGCCCTGCAC